CAGGTACTGTTTAAATAAAAGAAACTGTGATCTAATTTCTCCATTATTCTTTCTCTAATTCCTCTGAATTAGCCTGTGGGAACTTCTCCGACCTTGCAAGACAAATTGAGCTCCCCACAACTCAGACATGAGCAACAGACATCAGACTTTTCTGCTGAGGCCTCTTCTAGCAGAAAACATGGCACAACCCTATTTGAATCATTGATGATTAAAAGTCACCCTTAAAAAAATTCGGTTCAACCTAAATGTAAGTATCCCCAATAATGATATTTCACAAAACAGTAAGAATACTAACCTAGCAAAAGCACAAACAATGGCATTACATTATGTGCAAAGGCAAACTCAGGATTTTCAAGGGTGTTGATTGATCTTAAAATTGGTTAAGTACTCCAGCTGTTTTTGCAATGCTATCTACTTCAAAACTGTTGGTCTAGACACTTCTGCAAACCTTAATTCACAGAAGTAAAGACAGGTAAAATCTGTCTTTGGCTTTCAATCTGCAAAATTATCTGGTCCTTTCACACTACTCAATAGCTTATCCAGTGGAAATGATTACTGGAGGTTCAGGAAGTTCTGGGGCTGAGGATTTCTCACTCTGATGAGGATTCCTGGATCCATTCCCACTTTAAGCAAAATGAGAAGAAATGAGATATTCCTAGGGAGAAAATCATGATCAGAGTATCCTATGTCACACTCCAGCTGCTTTTAGTTACCCACAGAGGCTGTAGGGAGCACAAGTATCCATATGCTGAGGAGCTCAAGGACTGTTTGGGATCTTGGCTAAGCACTGGAGCAGTTTGGACACCTTCCTTCCCCAGGTTTTTATTTGTGTACTGAATGCAGGGTGGAAAATGAAGGTCCCATCCATAGAATTACTTACAATTAAAGTCCACATTTTATGGGTGCCTCTTGCTCACAGTACTTACTCATGTTACTCTTTTATTATGTTTGTCTACCATGAAACTAAGGGGGTTAAATTCTTATTCACTCATTTGATCACATGAATAAAGGTTCAAAGTGAGTCAGGGCTGGTGTGCTGGTAACTATGTAGTTCCAGGAAATGAAACGAAAAAATACTGTATGGAGTGAAGGCCCGTATAGATACAGTCATCTAAGATATACCATAACATTTAATATCCCTTAAAATTCACAGACCAGATGTGGAATCTAACATTTCGATTTAAAGAATCACATGTACCTTATGAAGACATGAGACGTGATTCTTTAGCATCCAAGTGCTTTTTGTAAAAAGTAGTATACGTTTTACAGAAAATTATATGAGCAGGTCCACAGTGAATAACTTACTTAAGTGGAATATAACTGAGCTGCAAGTAGCCGTTAGCTAGTTGGTTTTAGCTCTAATTAGTTTTAATTCATCTGCATATAAATTAGCTACTTCATGCACAAACATGCAGTTAGACATACAATTTTGAATTTTACCCCTCAAGCTGGAAACAGAAATGGAAGCGCTGTGTGCTGAACTGGTGGTTAGAAAAATGTTGAAAGTAAATTTGTTAATGTCCAGCCCTGTCCTCTGTCCCAGTGGGGCAGCGGAACCAAAAGGAGCTAATTCAGTCAAGAAATTTCATTTTACATTTCTGCACTCAGAGCTTGGGTGTTTGACATGGTCATCGACCAGAGGCTGCAGCAAATCTCACAATTAGTAACAGCTTCCAAACATTATTCAGCTGGCTGGGACAGCCAGAAGCCGGCATGCTGCAGCTGTATGCCCCATGTACTGCTGTGCACAGCAGTTGCCATGGGAATAATGGCTTTGGGGGTAATTCTGGCTATCCAGGGTTTCCCACATTAGGGACTTTGCAGCCAGGAAGCTGTGACTAAGTTCTGCTCACATTGAAAGCAACAAAGAGAAAAAAAATATAGGATATTGATCCCAGAAACCATGGGCCCAAACCTGCCAGGTGCTACACCCTTTTAATTCATATTTTCTCTGCAACTTTTTTTTCAGAAGTTGGAAATATGCCTGGAAGGGACAGGAAGCACCTCGCCAGGAGACCATGAGTGGGGGGAAAAAAGATAAGCATTTAACTCGATTGTTCACATATTGATATTAATGACAAGAAAGGTTTTGTAGCTTCATTTTTACACTGAAAATTACTCTTGCTTTATATGCTCACTGTATACAAAATCTGGTACCAGGTTTGCATACAAAAATCACTTACCAACTTTTGTACAGAAATGCAGTCTTCATACATCCCTTTGGACAATCTTTGCCATGGGTAGTGTGTACACTTACAGAATAGCTGTTAAAACCCTTTTAAAAGTTAGACCACAATAAGGACTGCTTGCTGATTAAATTCTGCAAATTATTTTCTGAAGTTAATACTCCTGCTAGGATCAATAGGAATAACAGAATTAAGAAACAGAAAAGAAAACATTATAAAAAATGTGAGAATTTTTAATTGCAAGATTATGGCTTTATGTAAAAGATCTGTAAAACCAGGCTCACCTGTAAATAAAACAACTACCACAGAAAATCCCAGTTGGATGATGTCTCTGATGACAACGGTCCAATTTTATCTGTGTAACTTCACACAGCACAAGAGCCTGGTGTGAAGGCTTGAACACTATCAAGTAAATAAAATGCTAATTTGATAACTTTTTGAAGCATTAGACATACAAAGTTGATGTTAAGCTGCTTCCCTTAGCAAAGGTACTTACTGCATTGTACTGGAGATGTAATCCTCCAAACCTCTTTTACAGATGTCTTCTCTATACCAATCTCTTTGGAGTCTAGGTGAATACATACAAAACCCTTAACTGTGCTACAATAGCTGGTTATTTAGAAAGCTGTCTTAAGTACTGTGGCCTGCCAGAACACAGCATTACTCTTTTATTCAACAAACCAAACCCCAAGCTGAAAGAAAGGAAAGCTGCGTTACCATCCACACAAGAACTATACACACGACATTTGGAAAACATTGAAAAAGTTTTCAACTTCCAACACTGATCAAATCACAGGAACTGCCAAATTTAAACTCCACCAGTGTTACCAACTTAACATATTTGAATAACACACATTAGATAAAATTCTACAGGAACAAACCTGTGTAATTTTATTTTTAGTCTGCTTTAAGAAATGAATATGTAAAGTTCTCAAGAATAAAACAGTAGCAGAAGCAGCTCTGTGGATGAAACTCATGCCTGTTTAATCATTAAGAGTGCCTGTAAATTTATTCTACACAGCTTCCCACGCAGAACACTTTCCCAGCTGCTGAGTAAAGCTGTGCTTCCTTGTCTGTAAACCTACAATTCCCAGAACCCATTGCAACACACCCTCTTAGTGTGAAGTAATCCACAGCTATGAAATTTTTTATGACTACAAAGATAGACTCTTCAACAGTTCTTGAACCTGTACTTGAAACTCCTACATCTCGCCCCCAACAATTCACAGTTTTGTGGTATATGGCTGAAACAGTGAACTGGTTTCTAAAATTCTACCAGTGCATCTTTGACATAAAAACACTGGCAGAGAAAAGAAGTAATAAATTGAAGAGGGAAAACAACTTAGAAGAATACTTTCCATGCTGGAACACGCTTTAAGGACATAGGTGATCCATGCAGGGAATGGAAAGAAACAGCACAAACCATCTTTTGATAATTGTGGAAGAAACACAGACAGTGATTAGAAATAAATTGAAAAATACTCAACCAAAAAGCTTGAATTAAGAACACGTTGAGTGCCAGAGAGAGCTTGGAGATAAAGCATGTGTCACTAAGCTTTTTGCATTAGAAAATTAAATGAAGCAATTAGATTTCAGAAAGTAGCCAATTATTTTAGGACTGAAACAGAGGCTGGAGGAAATACGGTTGTCTGTGTGTAAGGAATGGAGAAAAAGGAAAACAAAACATTGAATTTGAAATATTCTTGACAACCAATTTGTGTAAGGGGATTTTTAACTCTAAGTCTACAAAACTTTTTTTTAACTTGGTAATGAAAATAACACAATTTAAAAAATCCCACTTAATATGTGATATATAATTGATATATTCAAAAATCATAGGAAATCGCAAGCAGGTACTGAAAGAGCCTGTGAAGCAACATGGAAAAACAATCCTCCAGAACTGAGAATTCTCCTGAGATGACACTTTTTACTCTCAACATGTTTTGATGTGTTGTTTTCTCAAGGCTGTAAGGAAACAAGACTCTCAAGAGACCAAAAGGAAAAGCTTTTAGTAATTCCTCACAGGCAGATACTCTTGCAGAGTAGCATAGAGTAAAATGGGTAATTAAGTTACTTGTCTTACGCATTCAAAGCTTTAAGTGTGCCCGAACACTTCAGTGCCAGTACGTACTTCACAGAACACCAAAGCCTCAATCAATTTATCTTCTGAACACATCCTCTAAAAGCCTGAACAGGTTTAGAATAAACTATAAACTATATTTTTAATTAATTATAAAGCAAATAAAACATCCTTACCACAGCATGGCTAGCACATAAGACAATTGTAAGGCACTTACAGAAGGCAGTATCTCTCATGCACATGCTGCACTGCGACCCAATTTTAGGCTCCTGAGGGTTGGCAGAGAGTTTTTTTTTTTCTTACACTTCCCTGAGTGACAGCATTCAAGTGCCACCCCTGCTAGGAATACTATAGCCTTTTTAGCACTTCTGAGAAACTCAATGACAAAGCTTTTTTGCCCCCCCCCCCCCCCCCCCCTTTTTTTTTCCACCTTGCAAGGACATTGGTAACATAACGCCCATTTAGCACCACTGCTTGCTTTAAGAGTGTCCTTAACATTTATCTTCTCCCAATTAGAGATCTTATCATAGACAGCAATCTATAATATAAAGAAAGCAGTTCAATTTCTTTTGTTAAGGAATTAATTTTTAATAAAATGTGCACAAAATTACACAATATAAAGCTATAATTCAAGTTACAAAAATATGTGTATTTGAGTTCAATACTTAATTTGAATATAAACGATTGCTAACTGGATAACAACACATATCCTTACAAATTGCACCCTTTTCCCTTCCCCCCCCTATTCCCAATAAAAAGTTATTGTTCCCTTTGCTCCATTTTGTTCCATTTTTGTTCTCGTATAATCAACTTTTTAATCTCTAATAAAAACAGTTTTAATTGGCCCTGAGGTACTGCAGAGATTTATGCAGTCTAGGTCATTGTTTTCATATGCAGTAAAATATCCACTGTGTTTATTAAAGAAACAAAAGGTTTTTATCTTCTGAGGCAGAATATTTCTTGTAGCTGATGAGTGCTTGATACAAGTTATTCCTACTGATTCTTAAAATATCCTAGTTATGTGTAATAGGCAGTATACTTCTTTTCATAGTCCAGATAAATCTATCTTCTGTGAACCACAAGACTTACAAGGAAAACACATTACCAGACAGATTGAACTTGGAACTGCTGCAGAGCTGTTTCACCACAAACATAATTCATCATGCTAACTTTGCTTCTATTCCATTCTGTTCACAAAGATTGCTTAGAGGCATGAAGGAAAAAAGTCTGAAGCAATCATTTTCTTTAAATACAATAAAATGAAGACAGCACTTATTAGATAAAAACCTCCAAAACATTTGAGCTAGTGATTTAGCTGAAGTACAGCACTCTATCTCCTACCGGAAGACTGGAATTGACAACTGATACTGGCAAGCATTGGGCAAGTACTTAGAGAGCTGTACGTGCCCAAAAGGCAACTAGTGGGACCTTCTGTATTACCCACTGCACCTTTGCTTGGATACAATCACTGGTATTTAATATACAATGATTAGACAAATACTTGTGAGAATCATTTAGGGAAAAACCTTAATGAAAAGGTAAGTTCACATTACAGCAGTTTCCATTAACTACGATCAAATATTCAAGTGTCATTATCTAAACTAGAGGCACCAACTACATAAAAACTTGAAAATTATCAATGTCACAACATTTATGCAGAGTAGTGGCACATTATATGCTGACACCCGGCCTTCACAGTAATGGCACCATGTAAAAAGAACCTGAAAGGAGCTAAAAGTCACACAGGTACAGTAGCAAAGAAGCCTCTCAAGTATCTATTTAAGTAGTTAGAAGGACGTTTGCAGGAACAAACAATCCTACTCATTCAAGCAATAACGATTTCAGAGGACTTGTCCCCCTTGCACAGGAGAGGCCTCTACAGCCCTGCATGTCTTGAAGCTTGTGCAATTTTTTCAGCCTTAGGTTAGGTGTGAAGGCCATTTTTTGAAGTCTGTTCCAAATTAAAGTTGAAAACTGAATCTGGTCTCATTCATAAGTCCTCTTTCCTCTATGAGCTGGTTACAACCACTTTCAAAAAATGCCAAAGAACAGGAATGAACTAAAAAATTGCAGTGGACTTGGAAGAACCATTGGATCTGAAGTGACCTTTGAAGAGCACAAACTGTGGAGAAAGACAGCTGATCTTCACAGGATATTACTAAAGAAAAGGCTGTACTATATATTTGCTCTCAGTAGGCCTTCACACCCCTCCACTAAAAAGAAACCAATTTCTCTTCTAGGTTTTTGTTACAGTACACACTTTTGTTACCAAGAGCACAGAATAACTGCAGCTTACTTACGAGGTGAGCTGCAACTTCCAGTAGATGTGACCAGACTCTGTGATACAGGTTATGGAAGGATTCCTAGTAAAGAATCTTAAAAAACTCTTGGCAGTAAAAAGAGGCTGCTATAAAGATCTGAGACACATACAATTTCTTTGATAGTTTCAGGAGAACATTTCCCTCAGAATGATGAGGGCACCTGATACAGACATTTGATTTCAACTAGTTCATTTTCAATCTGGGCACATTTTCTGCCAAGAAAAAGCCACCACAGTAGTTACTAGCTCTCTTGTGCTAAAATCTTGGGGCCTGAAGTTACAGTCGTCTTAGTAACCTTTCACAAAGAGCAAATGTATTTGACAAATTATGGAAAATATTATACTACCCAAAAAAGAAAACTCAGTACACAGTTAAGAGATCTACTCCTTCCCCCTTTTACACTACAGTTATAACAGGCCAGAAGAAAAAAAAATATATATATGAAAAGCACCTGCAGTAAAGCAAATGTTTTCAGAAGGGTGGTAGAAAAGTGTGAGAATTTCTACAAAATGGAGTTTAGGTCTTCTAGAAGTTATAATCTCTTAAAGAAAGCATCAAGCTACAAAGCATTACCTGAAAGGAATTTGGTTTTATGGGAATATTCATCTGACCACAAATAAACCTATTAAGGCACATAAATTAATGGCAGAGTAAGTAACAGAAGCAATGATATTGATTTTGGTTTAGAAGAGTAGAAGGCACTTTTACTTTTTTTCATCCATACCTATGGGATGTGGAAGTGTTTTATATCGATTTCACCCGGTTCCAGTGTTCAGTGGCAAGAGCTTCTGTTCAACTTTGTCTGCCACCAAATTCATATTACATTCCCGAAGCGCTTTTATTAAGTCAGTCACCTTTGCATCTTTTCCCTTCCATTTCTGCCACTCTCGAAGCGACTGAGTCAACTGTTCATGCAAGTTAAATGGATTGGCTGCCACTATTCTGTCCATTTTCACTTCAGAAATCTCAAGTTTTCGCATCAGCATTTTCCAGTCTCTCCCAACATTTTCACATATGACTTCAATAGCTACCTTCTGAAGACCTGAAATTGCAGAAATATATCCAGTTAGTGATGTATTTACTAAGAAATATGAGACATTTTTTAAAAAGTGGTTGTTTTGGCTTTGTTTAGCAAAATGCTACTACTCTTGCTGCATCACACATTCTTAAAGTCACGCCGTATTCTGAAAACCCATTAAATATACTCGGAATCCCAAATACATAGCCCTATTTCCAAGTGACCGTTCGATAAAAAAAGGGAAGAAATTTCCACCCTGGAAACGGTACACTTCCAGGGCACTACAGAGTCCCGAGCAGCACTGAGTAGCATAAGCACCCTTAGCAGTGAGCTCAGCTTCAGCAGGCAACGGGGGGCAGCCGTGTTTGCTCCAAGCATGCCCAGAGCTGGTGGATGCATACAGACTTACTGGGTTTGATTGGGGAGGGGGGGGGGGTGTCAAGAGAAGAATGCGGAATTAAGAAAATAATCCACCTACGTTTTTCATGCACATCTGGCTGATCATCAGGAGCACTAACTTCTCCTTCCTCTACGAACTGCTTTAACTGCAAGACCAGATCTTCTCTTTTAATGGTCTCAAGCAAGCCTTTAAGAAACGCTACACTGTCGTTTGTAATCAGCTGCTTCTCGAGAAGGATGGTGAAGAGCTCCCCGCCACTTCGGACGGACTCAAGCTTCCCTTTCCCAAATTGCCCCCGGCAGAGAAACTTCAGGGAAGAAAGCTCTTTGTCCGACAAGCTCGAGGAAACAGAGTGCAGCAGAGTCAAAAACGGATCCATGGCGCCGGGGCCTACACCGCAACTGCCACCAGGCCCGGGGCGAGACACAGGCCGCGCGAAAAAGCTAGCGGAGTGTGGTCCCCGCCCTCCGCGGGGGCGGGCTAAGCGTTCTTGTTTTCACAGAGCGACTTCCCGGGAGGCCAGAGAACACAGGGAAGCAAACGGGGAAACCGAGCCCCACCGCTGCCGCGATGGCGGAGCGCTGGCCCCGCCCCACCCCGGCCCGGCCCGGCCCGGCCCGGCCCACCACCGTGCCCGGAAGTCACGTGACGGCGGCGGTTCTCCCGCCTGCCATAAGATGGCGGCGGAGGTGAGGTGAGGGGGAAAGGAAGGAGGGATAGGGCGGGCGGTTCTTATTCTCCTCGCCTGGCTCTAGGAACTGCGCAGTGCTCCAGAGCTCTCGCAGGCGAATGAGCTCGTTTTCCGATGCCGACTACAAAGGGTGTGTCGGAGCCGGGGTTGACGCGGCCGGCCCGCTGCGGCGGGGGGGGGCGGGGCAAGGCTGGGTCCCGCCGCCTCAGCTTTGGCCAAGCCCTGCGTTAGGGGAAGTGTGAGTTCCCCGTTTAATACGGAATTACTGGATTTCTTGACTACCTATACTTAAAAGTGTTACTTTCTGTGGTGTTTTGTTTTGTGTGTTTTTTTTTGTTGGTTTTTTTTTTTTTTTTTTTTTTTTTTTTTATTAAAGAGCAGTACAAGGATGAAAGGGCTTGCTTGAAGAAGAGCAAAAGTCACATCAGAGCTTGGCTGTCAAAGAGACGCTATTCCCATGGTGTTCCTCCCTGGCAGCTGCTCAGGAAAACGCCTCTGCTCTCCCTGTGTGACCTTGGCTGCCCTCAAGAGATCCCCTCGCTTTCCCTGAAAACACGGGGTTTACAGCCTGGGCTTTGTTCCTCACAAAGATTAGTTGTGACATAAAATAACTCCTGACCTTTAAAAGGCAAGAAATAGGGCAAATGTTAAGGCCCTGTATTTTAAAGGGGATTTCTACACAAGGTGAAAGGTGGTGATTTTTTCTTAAATGGGAAAGTTCAGGTTCATCCCACTGTTTTGTATGTTCCCAAAGTTCACAAAAAACATAATGTTTTTTCTTCACAACACGTGTAGGTAGTTCAGAGTTTTTCTTGTTCCTTCTGTGAACACTGGCATGTTGATTCCCCAAGCTACCCTATTACTAAATTGTTTCCACTACAGCCTTTATTATTATTGCAGCACACAAATAGACCTATGGTCCTTGTCATAAAAAGATTGTTGTCTCAAGATACATGAGCTTTATCATCTTCCACATCTCCTTCTGCAGTCTCAGATTCCAATGCGAGGAACAACTCCTACTCTCAAAACATTTCTAAAACTCCCAAGGCACAAACCCTCCTTAGATAAAACCTCTAGATTTTCAGCATCCTGTTTCAGTGTGTTACACAGAATTAGTCTTGCACATGGTCAAGAAAGCTAATATATGGAACTGGCTACATGCATGAAGCTTATCTGTGTATCCACAGCAGTGGGCACAATGACACAAGAAAATAAATATTTCATACTGAATACAAGATTTGTTTCCCATATAATCCTCCCAGGTTATATGAACATTGGTCAGCCTTGTCTCCTCCAAGTAAGCATTCACTTAAAATAATTTATTTTCTGATAGCATTAGCAATATTTTATTTGATTTTTAACAAGACAATCCCAAAATTCACAACAGATTTGGGACTTACATCAGCCTACTTTCCCCTCCATTCCTGTGTTCCTCATCCAAGAAAGATGACAGGACATCTAATAATGACAACCTTAAAAAGAAGCCAACATGCTTATCACTCCCAGTCTCTCAGATAAAATACTAAATCTGTTTAAAAAAGAGATTTTTGTTTAGTCCCTAAATGCTGCAAATTGAAGGGAATTAACCTGTTGCAGGGTCTCATGGTAAAGTAAATATCAAGAGGAATAGGACTAAGAATTTGAGCTGGGATGAGATGTGCCTGAGTTGATACGTATTTTATTTCCGCAGCCCTGGGTGTACTTTAAACCAAAGGAAAGAACATTAATAAAAAGAGTAGTGTGATGCCAAGGAGAAATATATTTGCAGTGTGTGGATTAATTTAGAAAGCAGAGGTAAGCCCTAGTAACAATCTAAGAAGTATAAAATCCAGTTAAATCAAATCTCTCTTTAATTTTGCCAATGAAGGTGACTACAAAACAGGAGGAACCAAATCACATGGTGCATAACTTCTGCTTGGTGATGGCAGCTGTCCAAATTCAGAGACAAATCTATATGAAGGAAGTCTAAATCAGTGTAATTTATACCTTTATTCTCTATCCCTTGACATGCAATTGAAGGCAACATCAACTGAGGTTTTAACAGGTTTATACAAACTTAGCAGCCAGATTCAGCACTGAAGTACAAGGAAGTGTGAAAGCAATTCCATACATCAGTGTAATTATAAGGGAGTCTAGTATCAAACATGGAACTAAAAGATACAAATCATCATTTAATTAAGATATAAATTATCACTTAAATGCTTTTAAACTTACTCCTAATGCCTGGCATAGTGATTTAGTAGTCTGTTTTATTATGTCTGAAGCTGACCCATTAACTCTACTTTGACACATGCACAGATGAAAATACTCGAGCAACTTGCTTTCCCCCAGTTATTTCCTTTGAAAGCAGTTCACGGGGCTTTAGCAAAGAAAGTATTTGCCAAGGTCAACAGATCATAACCGCTGCACATCAGAATAAAACTTAATAGAAATGATTTATTAGACCAGCTCAGATTTCAGTGGAAGTTTCCCAGAAATGTAAGTGCTGTGATTGATCCAGTTCCTAACCAAATAATTCAGAGCTTTCTTGAGGGAAGACGTTTCATTGCAAAATACTGCAGAGGGAGCTAGAAGCCTGGGAGTGTTTCAGACTGAGCCGTTTAACTTCATGCTCTTCCCTGGAGTAACAGGCAAAGAGAGAAAAAAGTTTTAATTTCTGTTGAGCCTTCAGTGAGGTGTCAGCCACCAGGCCATTCAGGCCACAGACACCCATTTACAGACTGTGGACTTAAAATGGCAAAGTGCGTGGCTGCCCTTTGCAGGGTCTGTGCACTGTCACGTTGTGTGAATAAACATGGGGTGGCTGAAAGTTTGCTTTGGAGGGTACATGACTTATTAAACAGCTCCTTTAACCAGCAGTATATTCTACATGCTCTGAATAGTAAACATTTTGGTTAAATGTATATGACTGTACAGAACCGCAGGTGACTGAGATGAGCTTGCATGGAAATTTTGGAAGATGCTTTGTGTTTTCCAGACAAGGGAACTGATCTTTCTGGCTGGCCTTTCTTCTTTACTCAAGCATCATACTGGGATCTGCTATGTGGCTGTGGAAATGTCTGACAGTTTCTGCAGGTGTTGCAATCCCTCTGATGTAATCTGATTTGCCATTAGTGCTCATTAACAAGTATACGACTTGCTGAGTCCACCTTTCATGACTGCTTTCCCTATTACTGTCAAGCAATTCACTCTTGATATGACAAATAGCTTTCTGTAAATATTGATAGTTTGCCTTCTCTTTTCAGCCAGCCCCTCCTCTCTAACAAGGGTGTGCTTGCAGCCTGCTGTTGACACACCAGAACTTGTTTTAATCTAGTGATTTCAGATGCTGGTTGCAACAGAGCTACTCCAGCGCAGTACATGCCATGCTCATATCAGTGATGGTAACGCAGATAGTCAAAGAAACTTCTCTCCTTTCCGAGGCCCACAGTGAGGGCTGCACACACTGGTGGAGTTTCCAGTGTTAATACACGTATTTTTCTTCTTTGCTTTTGTTCTGAGCAACGTACCTACTGCTTCGTATGTACTTTGTTTACCTTTGATACGTTTAAAGCTTAAATCACTGCTATTAGTTCAGTCCTGTCGCATGACAGTCTGCTCCTGGGTTTGTAAGGTGCAAAGGATGTGCTTCTGTGGGACGTCCTGTCTAGTTTTACAGAGCAGAGAGGGGTGAAAAACTCAATGGATCAGGACTGCATCTTGACAGACTTGATGGTGTAGTTGCTTGAAATAATATGCAGGGTGAAGACCTAGTCAATAGGTGTTTTCAGAAGCAGAAACTGGAATCAAGTCAAGGAGAGCTTGCTGGTCTACTGCTGTTTCTTTGCAAGTTGCTTGATGCTATTTCTTAGATTGGCTGGGTTGACTGTCAAAGGGCAGGTAGAATTGTCAAAGGGGTATTTTTCTTTTTTTAGCAAGTGGAAGGAAAAGGGGGAATATCTATATGGTGGAGGCGGCATAAAAATTCACGTCATTCCATTGTGATAAGAGAAATCTATATGCTGATGCAGACACTGCAGGTGGACTGCCTGGTGCTTTCAAAAACCCTGCAGCTAGAGAGGGAGGTACTCTAACTTTTTGACCGCATAGTGAGAAACACGATGGGATGCAGTTTGCCTGAGACCATAGAAACCTAAGACCATAGAATAGGAGTATTTAGATGCTACAGTGTTTTTAAATGAAACAGCTTTGATAACTTTTCTAACTTATCAGACAATTCAGTAGCAAATAACCCAGGGCAAATTTAAAATTCTCATCCCTGACAGTTCTGAGGAACAGGTTGGACAAACTTCTTGGCATAGACTAGATGTATTTAATCCTGTCTCAGTGTTGAGAAATTGTTTCTCTTTTGAGGTCCAGACAATTGTATACTTTTTGCTATAAATGCCATTCTCTCTCAAGGGAATTAGGAGCATCTCAGTTTTTCTTTATTGTCTTCAAGATAAGAGCAGTATTTAAAAAATGCAAGCCCTGCCCTGTCAACTGAATTAGGCAGTAACAGGGTTTGGTCTTTTTTTTTCACTTGCTTGCTTTTTTACTCCCACATTGAATAAACTGATTTCCATAACATTTCTTATTATACTTATTCAATGCCTCCCATTAGTTGTTTTCAGAATCCTAAAATGCATTTCTTCAGCAAAGAAAAGACAGTTTCTGCATTTTCTTTTGTGAATTAATTGGTCTGTCCATGTTTCGTTAGATATTACCTCTCTGTTGCTATAATGTCTAGCATAGAAAGAAACGCTCTAGTAAAGAAACTACTTGTGAAGAGATTAGGAGAAAACTGTCTGTGACAAAAGGGCCTATAAGAAATGTGAAATTATTGTGGGTTGAAAGAGAGAAAATTAGAAGCAGAGTGTGGGAAAAGTAAATAAGTATTGAAAAGAAAGTGAACTCCGGCATGAATAGGCTATATACAGATAAAAGATCTGGCCAAGTAACAACAACAACAAGCAATAAGTTGTTAACAGATGCTTGAACTTAATATTGAAACAGAAGAAGTGTTGATATAATTCTGTTGATATAGTTCTGTTGTGTTATTGTTGGCAGAAGAAGTTAGTTTAAGGGAAGGGTAAATTGTAGACTTTTGTTTATTTTCTCCAGCTAAAAACCTCTGACTTGACTTTTTACCTATTTTTATAGTGAATTTTCATCATACCATGTAAGTATGAAATCATTCAGACAAACATTTCACATGTCAATAAAGCTATGTGTATATATTAGACCAGCACATTTCATTCCTCTAAACCGTACTTATTACTTAAGCTCTGCAACATCAATTTTGCAATTGGAAAAACAGAAAAACAGAGAAAACAGAAAATGAGGATTGTCTGCACAGGAACATCATTGTGAAACAAGCCAGGGAGGAGATAAAACCCCTCCCCAAATAGTAGTGAATTATCATTAGATCTCTTTTTGGCCCCTTTCTATTTCTATTCTGTACAATCCCCACTGGGACTAGACTAAGCTGACCTGTAGAGCATTGGAAGTGCTCGCTCTCTAAGGGTTACCTTAGAATCACCATGGGAGACAGCTCTTCTGAGCAGTTTCCTCCCGAAGATAAACCTATGGCAAAATATGATACAGACAAGCCAAATCTTGTGTTAACTTATGCCAGGCATGTCCACATACCTGTCTTCCACAGTACTGCAAAGAGATACCGGTGTGGGTCTGAAGGCAAAATATCTCCCTTAGGGCAGTGAAGAGCCATTGGACTTAAGTCATTTTTGAGTCCAACGCTTGCTTGACCCATTGACTTTCAAACCCATCCTAGGGACCAGTGCCTCATTGTGCAGTGGTAGGCTCTGTGACTGGATGAGAATGAAGCAAACAAAGTTAGGATACAAACTGGAAGTTGCTATTCATCCAGGGAAATAACCCAGCGGTTCTGATTTCCAGGTTTGAAAGCTAATAGTAATTAATTTCTGAAGAGTATATAAATTTGTTCTTTATTTTCCTGAGCTGCTGTATTGCCAGTTCCCAAGCCCAATAAAAACTTGAAAAGGTAAATACTTACCACATTAAGATTTATCTTCTTGGATAGAAAAAAAAATTGAGGTGTTTTTCTTCAGTCTCCTTCTTAGCATTCGAAAATACAGTATTCTAAGCAGCTATAAAAAAGGTTAGGATAACTTAAAATTAACTGTTTTGCAGAAAATGGATCAATTTTGCACTAGTTTGCACCACTTGGAAGTATTTTTTGCAAGCATGCAAATAGTACTAAGCCACAGGACTTCATCCATGGGAGGGTTGTTTCCTCTTTCTTTACTGAGTACAGCAGCACTCAATTGCCTGCTACACAACATTGCAGTTGAAAAAGTAGTGGCAGGGATTTTTTCTGGTCTGTGAATATTCTAGCTCTACGGAATTCTGCATTAACAGACTCTGCTTCAGACCTGGTCATTGTCACAAAAGTGGTGTGAAAAATGTAACCTTTCTCCCAGCCATGTCTCTGCATCAAGCCTGCAGAATGGCCTCTTCACAGACCAGAAAATACCTTGGCCTCTAAATGTCTGCCAGAGTTATTAAAATTTCACTTTAATAAATTTCACTTTAATAAATATAAATGAATGAGCCTGGCCACACTTGCTCGATTTCTCAGTTAAACTCAGATGTTGTGAGCTCACTACAGTGACTGCAGATAATGACAAACCAAGAGACAGGGTGATACATTTCTTAAAAACAAGTGTTACCTAAGGTAGCTCTGATTGGCAGTAGAATTACCCATTAGAGGAAAGATCAGGGGATTTTTGTTCTTCCCTTCAAGAATGTGCCAATACAGTATTTTCTGAGTCATTATCTCACAGTTATTGAAGTTGGAAGGTGTAAGTTTTTTTTCAAATCCGATTAGAGAGGGAGTGCCTTGTCTGCTCAAACACAGTACACATTATCCAGAGCACTCATTTCCTTTTAAAACGTGAATAGTTTTATGCAACCATTAAGTGACACAGGATATGACTAGGTTACTTACTCATAGGGATTTAGATACAATAAATAAGAACGCAGATCTGGTTTCGTCATCCCGTTCCCTTGATTCTTGGGGATGGGAAAGTATTATTTTCTCCTCTCTAAAGAAACACTTTAATTTGAGCTAGTCCACAGCATTGTAGTCTGAATCAGATACAAGTTAGTCTTGAGCCACAATTTGGAGTTCATTTTCATACACAAACATAGTGGAATCTTGTTGCATTTGTTCCCAGAGATGAAAAGTCTGTGAAGGTGTGTTACTTACTGAGAGAAGAATAGATTAATATAATACATTATATAGCAATTCTGTATTTTCCTTACAGTCCATATACTTTAGAAGGAAGTTATACACACCACAGCTTTGTCTGCCTACCCTCAAAAATCGATGTACTGCATTTTCTTGAGAAGCTCTTTTTCAGATATACAACTGATATTAAATGACTTGCAACATGAGATCAGACTCAAGCTCACCCTCTCTCATCTGTCAAATACACATATAAACATACAGCTTCACCAGTTTTGGAGTGAGGCTTTTTAAAGCAGAAGTAGCCTATAATAAATCTTTGACAAGTACCTGAACCTGGAAGTGATTAACTGTCATTTCTTATCCACAAGAAGACCCAGAGATGATTGCCAGCTCAGCTCTACAGCTCTCTTTGGGCAGAGCTGAAAGGCAAGCATCGTAAAGATGTGGAAAAGTTTGGTTTCAGAAGTAAAATTCAAAAAGACAGAAGTGGAGAGGTTTAGTAGAATTTCGGAATTGACTCTCAGTTTTACTTCTTTTGCTCTTTGAAGCCAGGAAGAAGATATGGCTGAAATCCATGTCAATTTATTCTTGGGACTTTCACTGTTCCTTCCCTGCTCTCAACTCCCTCCCACTCCCAACAGTGCCTGAGTAGAGTAAAATACCTAAATAACTCTAAGAGTGTGGCACAGAATCCACCAGCTTCCTGAGCTGTTTTGTTACGCACACCGCATCTTGCTGACCTGAGAGGTTGTGCAGTAAACCTGTAGTCTAGACTACTAAAATTTATCACTTTCCCACTGGATGGTTAATTATTTGTAATAACCTACCTTCTTTACCTACAGATGTATTCTGAAGATTAATACATGAAGAAATGTGAGCTGCTCATCTAATTACATGCTCTTACCAGGGCAGATGGGAATGCCATGCGTGCGAGCACCGTGGCGCGATGATGCAGCGCTGCCGTCTGGGTTCAAAGCAGGCAGCACGGGCAGATCAGCCACTTACCTGCACATCGCCTTTGGGGTTGGAGAGACTTACCTACTACAGAACCCAAGGGCTTGGACCAATTGGGACCTGACTTCAATGTTGGAAGCTGTGTGAGAGTTCATAAATCGTTCTGATCAACATTAAAAGTAAGTATGTTCCTAGAGGAACTGTTTATTTTTGATTGCTGAGGATCATGGTATTATTTGCAATTCAGTACATGAGTGGAGAAGGCATAGTCACCAAGCCCTCACTGATGCCAGAGAGGTCTTATCTTTCTTACTCTGTTTTCATCCATTTCCTTCCAAAGGACCAAAGCCTTCCAGCTTTCATCTGAACACAAGACCAACAGTATTGCACCACTTGGCAGGATGATTGCACATCGCTACAAAAATATTGGCAAAGGCTACCTGATAACCTGCCTACAAGATGGCCTCACCACAGGAAGTGATTCTGGAAAAACAACTTCTGTGGCTGATCTCCAGCTAACTTGGATCTGAGAACATCAGTCAAAAGCCTGTTCTTCCCCCCTTCTCTGCTTGCACCTCTTCCCTAGCCCCCATCTCTTACATTTCAACTGGAGAAAGTGGCCACTCTTTTTCCATTTAAAAGTAAAAATAGGGAGCAACTTTCTCTTCTGCTCTAAGAAAGATTGCTTACCTACCTGCATTTAACTCTTGCTCTGAAAACGGACTTTGTTATGCTTTTACGTTCATTCAGCACAAGCACTCCGCTAAATATTTTGATTCCTTTTCTCACGCGCATCGGGATGGATACATTTCCCATTTTGGCATGACTTTTCTCACACAGGTGGTACTAGGCAAGATGAAAGCTATGACCTCAAATCCTTCAAACTTGCGTAACTAAGTTCACATGACAGTGTCATGCCTTTGATTTTCAAGCACAAGAAGCGTGCACAGCACCCCACTGATCACACAACTGATCTGCTTCAATGTATTTTGGCTTTAGCTGACACTGGGTTATAAAAGTACCATACAGTATATGTCATTAATTTTTAAGTGGAACCAATTATTCAATATGCAATGCTTAGTCTCATTCAAGGTGTGCTGCAGTCAAAGGGAATCAAAGGAAATATTTTCTTTGGCTTCAGGTGGCTTATGAATCAGGCGGCATGTATGGTATTAAAACTTAAGGAAAGAGCTTAAAATTAAAAAGAAGCCACATTAATAGTTTCTTCCTCAGAAAGTCCTGTTGGGCTAAAAAAAGGATATTAAAAAAAAGAACTTTGTTTTTTCTCTGCTGTACTAAAAATGGCATATTGTGGTTGGTCATGAAATAAATAGTACTCAAATGTGCAAAGAATTGAACCAGAGTTTGAATGGACTCCATATAAATTTTAAGACAGCGTTTCTTCAGCGGCAAAAAGATGAATAGTTGTTTACTCTGAAAACTTCACAGGAAAATATAAATGTACCCAAATGATCTATGAAACTTTTGGAGAGTTCAGACTCCTGAGGTAACAAGATGAAAAGTAAATTGTTTTATTGTTGCTTATTGGAAATCACAACAGCCAAAAAGATCATTAACAGCTCAGGACCAGAGAGCACTGAGGGTTTAAAAATAGAAATGTGTCTGTGCCTTGACTTGAGACTTATTCACCCTTAAGCTATTTAAGACTGCAAAATATTTGTAAGACAGTATCTTAGAAACACAATGACATGGAAATTCAGAAGATTCAGACTCATACTGTCAACACAATAGGGTGGGTATGATTTCCTCCTCAGAATCACCAGCTGAAGTTGTGTCTTTGCCACAAACTTTGGGTAGCAAAAAGCAAACAGCATGTTTTAGCAATGGTTCAAAAATTATCTACACAGCCACTTCCAGCTGTAATCTTTCCTACTCTTGTCTGCATTTGCTCTTGGACTAAGTAAACCGGTACAATGATTTTCCTGTTTAATACATTAACACATTTGGCTTGGGATTTTTTTTTTTTTCCCATTTGATCAAAGCAGGGCTGGGAAATTGAGTTTTTACTTACAATTTTGTGGCAGAAGCATGCCAAGAACAGGTTGAATGCACGTTGTGGAGATACTGTCGTATCAATACAGAATTCAGCTGTATTTGTATGAATACAAATATTGCTATCTTTTGTCAAACCTGGCCCATAGGTAGCTGTGTCACATCGAGATATGTTCAGTTATTTCTTGATCACTTCCAGATCCCTGCTTCTCTGTATTAACTTTCTTTTTTTTCCCCTCTTCCAGTGAATCTTTATTAGCATAATCCCACCTCAAATTTGCTATTGGTAAAAAAACCCCTTGTTCCTACTTGCATCACAAATATGAAAAAAAATTTTCATGAAAAGTACCACAATCCAGTGCAAATCTCTTTCTGGAAGGCATTATCTTACATCTAATAAGCTCCTATCTACTATTTTGTCTTCAAGACCTGACAAAACCAAACCAGTTACCAACTAGGCAGTGATTTACCTGCTTCTGGTTTTCATATCCATTATCTCGGAACAGAATTCCCACCTTATAACTAAATTTCATTAGTTAGGTCATTAATATTATCTGGCTAGAAAGGGAGAGTTGGTATGAAGGCTCATGCTTTGCCTTCTCACAGAACAGGTAAATGAGAGAAGTATTAAAAATTGTAAATGGCCATTCAGGTTCTAAGGCCATCTTTGCTTGTACAAGTCCTACAAAGCAATCAAAATGTGATATGCACAGTGTAGCCTTTCTGCTTCCTGAGCTACTTCCCTTCAGAACTGCATTTAGCAAGACACTGTCAAAGGAATCCCTGAGTTTTATTCTTTTAGTTTTACCATTTCATTTAGTTTTTAATAATGAATATATTTTTCAATTTAAATGAACAAACCAAATGGCATTATTCCTCATTATAAGCCCATTTTCAAAGTCTTGATGAAAGCTCTTACACCTTACATTCTGCTAAAAGCCTAAGACTAAAGTCAGAAGAAAATGAAAGCTCCCAGGATAAGATCCATCACTTAATATTCAGTGTCTATGGTGCAGCCATCTATGTCTGTGCTAGAAGCCAAACCTCCCTTTGGGCTCATAGAAACAGATGCATCTTAAGTGGGATTCATTTAATCTCAAAGAGGGTATGTAGAGCAGCTCAAACACAGAATTTACCTTTGACGTTGTCAGAAAGATGTCTATAAATGAAGTGGTCATCACCTGCAAGGAAATCATAGTTTAGGCCTCTGCTGTCTGAGTACACACGAGCACTGGAAGGGGCACTGCAGATCAGTTTTAGGCAAACTGTAACACGAATACTGTATTTGTCAAATCTAATAGTACTCATAGTTGCACACTCAGAGCACAAGGAGGATTGGGAACAGAACCTGTCCCACAGGAGAAACTTGCATATTAAAGTTTATTTCAAATAAGTGTTCAAAGAAGAAAAAAACCACAACAACAAAACAAAAAAACAAACAAACAAAAACAAACAAAAACAAAAAAAAAAACCAAACTAAACCAGATTTAGTATATATTTGATTTTTTTAAAAAATTATTCCATGAAAGAGTTTTATAGTTATCTAAGTAGTAATACAGTTTTTATATACAAAATTCCATTTCAAACAATTTACTGTACAAAAGAAAGTATAAGCAACTGTTACTAGTTCATGATTTCAGCAAATAATGAAAAACTGACAAGTATGTGTTCAGGATATAGTTCTACCATTTACAGGAATGTCAGTATTAAGTTGGAAATACTTTCAGATAAGTATTTACAGATGAAATTCCCATCAAGGAAGTTCCCTAAGATTTCTCTTCAGAATAGGTAGGTAGTTCATATGTTTGGCTTTCTTCTGGATCTTTTGGGCTACCAGGGAATGAGAGGAAGAACAGTCTGCCTACAAGATGCATGGACAGAATTCTGCTTGATTTATTCCCACTCGCAGTCCTATCGCAGTCAGTGGGCCTGATCTAGTAAACACTTACAACCAGGCATAATGCTTATTGTGTGAATAAATCAGGCAGGATTTGGCCTTACAGTAGTAAGCTATCATAAGTTACAAATCTTAAAAATAGTGACATTCCTGCAAGTCAAAATACACCAGAAACAAGAGTTAACAAAATATAAGCCCTTTATTAATAAAAATCTTTGGTTGGATCAATATCTTAAATAAGCTTCAAGAATATTTGGTTAATACCATTTTCCTTCTTCCACATAATTTCTTTTCTGGTACTTTCTTTGGACAGACTACAGAAAAATATCAAATTTATCACATACTTTAAAACAAATAAATATATCAAAAGCTAAATATGTCATTTTTTAAAAGTTCTAGCATTAATCTTTAAATTAGTTTGGCAAAGAAAAAAGAATAGAAAAAAGAAATAACTAACTTCTCTTGAAAACAGTCTTTTGACGTTTGGTTTTGTAACAAACCATACAGTAGTTAGACTTAAAAGAAATCTTTCATTTTTATTTTATTTTTCAGTTTTATATTTGTAATGCAAGTGCCATGGACAAGACAAAGCAAGAAAAGAAATGAGGTTAATTGCACCAATATTATTTGGAAGTGCAGTTTATCGTTTGACAAAGCAAAACTAAAATGTACTATGCATAAAAAGAGTTGTACTGATGGGATTTAGCTAGATTTCGTAAGTAAGGATTTTAGACTTTAAGGAAGCTCCTTGTACAAAAGATAGAGTATTTTAAGACAAAAGAAAAGTCCTGTAACTAACTGAAGGTCTGGTCCTGTAGCCCCAGTGCAGGCAAAACTTCCACTGAAGACAGTAAGTGGGACACGTTTTGGATTTACTCCTCCAGAACAGCCTCTGGGAAATGCCATTCAACAGCAGAAAGTCTGCAGGGATAACTGGCTGTTAAAAAGGGGTGCAGACTCCTTTCTCCTGCAGAGGATCAAGGGCTACAGAGAAAAACTTGGCTGAGAAAAGGATGTGCTGAAACAACAGGAAGAAGGGAATTTCCTCAGCAACAAGAGTGTCCAAGTACTAGGCAGGGCAGTCACTGTAGCTCTACGTGTGCTCGTTAATTTAGGGCATTCAGCAAAATGCTCTGTGATCATCTACCTGCTGGGAGGATCTCCGAAACTGTGCTGCTGCTGCCTGGCCATGAGCGAGGAGCTGCTGGGGGAACACTCAGACACAGCTGATGCAGCCTGGGGCACTGAGGTAACTTCATCCACATCAGTCATTTACTGGTAAAAAAGGACTTTTCCAGATTCACTTTTCTGATGTTTCTGAAGAGAGCAGTGCCCCAGTGAAGGTCTCGGGTACACGGCAGGTTGCCACAAGTGCCCCACGCACCTGTGTGACTCCAAAGCTCAGCAGGAGCTCAGCTTGTTTTAGACCTGCAGGTTCAAACACAGATGTCTGCCAGCAGAGCTAAACCCTGTCTTGGAGAGCAAGTCACTCTGGTAGGCTTTACATGGTTTCTCTCCTGCCAAAAGGAATACTAGGGCACACTCTTAAGCTGATTCTGCATATACTTTATCGAGTTACCCCATGGACCTTCAAGCCTGGGGCACCAAAAATATTTTAAATTAGTAGTATTATTACTTAAAGTTTACTTTTATTTAATTAGTTAATTGGTTGGCTAAGGTCAAATTCTGAGAGAGTATCTCTATCAAGATGTACTAAGTACCTGCATTAATTAATGCACACCAACGTCAATAGTGTTATATAATGATGAAATATAAAAATTCCCTGCATTACTGCTTGTGCAAAAGAAAAAACAACAACAATATCAGAAATAGAATGTGGTCCTCCATATTTGTAAGAAGAGCATTTCTCACAAAGATGGGAGCAAAATGGCAGCACATCCTTCAACATGCACCAGGTTGTCCATTAATTGAGTCCTGCCCTTTACGCGATGGCTTGTGTATCAGTGGAATGCCCCGACATACTCAACTCCCTCCTCTTCTATACGTCGAGAGGGTACGAATGGCAGGAGGACAAGCTCCCACTGTGGCTCCTGGAGAGTCTGGGGCTGTGATTGTTACAGTTTTCACCGTTTTTCTTGTCCTTGTCTTTCCAGGTTTCTAGCATTTGCAGCTTCCCTTGCTCTTCTCTCATGAAGACCTCCACCATGAGAACCTTCTCTTTATGAATCTGCTGACTAATGTCCTTGGGAATGTCTGGGATAATCCAGTCAACAAAGTCACTCATAAACATGACCAAGTTCTGAAAATGAAATTGTAAGAAAATGTCAGCAAGGTCAAATGAAAGGATGACTGTAGGGAAAAGGCCATTTTTGGTGTATTTAGGAAGGAAGAATGAAGAAAGGACAATATTTGAGTTAGGCAAAATGGCATGTCGCAAGCCCGATACT